ATAACTGGAACACCGGATGCCGGGATGCTCGTGCCAAGCCTACCCTTGGGCTCGGTCGATCGTTCCCGGAAGGAGCGCACAATAGAACGATTCCCGGCACCGAGTTGAATTACTTTCGGCCATGGTCGGAACGAGTTATCCGCCAGCTAAGTGAGAGGCATGCATTCAATCTTGTCGAAGTTCCAACAACAGTGACGGTCCTTGATCAACACAGACGGGGGATAGATCCACACCCAAGACCTCCATGTCTTGTTGCTTCTCTATCGACCTCCGTCCGGTCTCGATTTACTTTTACCTCATGGTTCTGCTTCCACGATGGCGAGATATAATAACCGTGCTTTCTGTATCCACCTATATCTCGCAGTGATAGGATATCACCCGACTTCTACCGGTCTAATCATGGCTAAGCATTTATTCGATCCTAGACCTATACCCCAAGTTAAAGGTGTAATATTTGGACAAGGAATGTACATGCATCAAGTGGTTTCATTCAACTCTTATAACCTAATGCATCAATCATAAATATGTAAGTAAACATTTGTAAATTACCGGGAGACTTATAATGCTCCGGGCTTGCCTCGCAGAAAAGGAAGTAGGGCGGTGGTCGGGACACTCGGAAGCTCTTGAGTTTCGCTCACGCCTTGGAGGCTGTGGCTTTATGGATCCTCCCGCCGGGTTCCCTTCCTCTTTTTCTTTGAATTCCAACAACGTGATCCTTTCCTCCGATCCTAGATGCATGAGTATGGCATAAGTATTACGAATGCATAAATGTTAACAAGTGCATCATATTTATTGAGTAGGTGCATATCTCTTCTCGATTATTACTTAATTACTCCTACAATGCATCGACCATGCCACAAACAGTAGCTACTTGTTTCACTCATAACTAGAGTTCTACTAACCCAAAAACAGTGATCCTAGACTTTCTGGAAAGCTTATCAAATTCTCTACAACTTTGTTATTAACCATTTTTACAGTACACATCAGTTTCAACATGCAACTCATCGAACTCTAGAATCAGTCCGGAAACTATTTAATATGCAATATAAAGTAACGATACTTCTACTTCATGTAATCATTCAAAATTTGACCACATAGAATCTACCAATAGTTTAAGCATACCAAATACATTTAAGATCATATAATGGTGAAGCCCAAACTATTCATTTAATTGTCTTTATTATTTTATTTATATATCTAGGTTAAATAATAAATATATATCAGATGTGCTTAATAAATTCTCAAAAATTTATAGTGCCTTACTAAAGCTATCAAAGGACTACTATAAAAGTTTCATGTCATTTTACCAAGTAGAACATCCTATACAAATATGACAAGGAAGCAAGACTTGAAATAGCATAAATGGAAAATCCTATTGAAAAGTGTCGAGCAACAGATTTCCTATTTTTCTTAACATCCATATGGTACTAGGATTACCTCCAACAAATTTCATGAATTTTGGACTCATAAATAATTTATAAAAATTCATGCAAGGATTGACTATCCATAAAAGAAAAATCTATAACTATAAATCTACCCATGCACTGGTCCTCAAATTTTTCCCAGAGCTCATATATGCTAAGACTAGCTTACCACAAAAATTTCATAATTTTTGGAGCATAGGAACTCTAGATATAAAATAAACAAATTTAAATGCATTCAAAAACACATTTCAAATCTCTATTTAAAAATCCCAAAATTTCTACTGTATATGTTCAGAATATATTTTTACTAAATACTACACTTCCTAGTGAACACTACAAAATTTATTTCATAAATTTAGGAGCTACCAAACTGGAGATATGAAAATCACAAAAGAAATCAAAAACTGGAATCAAATGAGTTAGCCTTTAAACACGGAGTCGCTGACCGGTGGGACCCGGTGGTCAGGGGACCCCACATGTCATCGACTCGAAGCAAGGCAGGCGGCGCTGTACGCTGCTGGCGCGGCCAGAGCTCGCCGACGGCGAGGTTGCCGGCGGTGACGTCTTCGCACGGTGATCTACGGAGCAGCGTGCGTCGAACAACCTAGGTGACGGCAGAAGAGGGTGAGCGGAGCATGCCCGTCGCCGGTGATGGCGGCACGGCGGAGGTGCTCAGTGGTGCACCAGTCATCATCGCCCATGGTGAAGCCAGGAGAGGCGCGCAACAACACCTAGGTGACCGAGTGAACCTATCTAGACGACCTACGCGGCTCGTGAAGCTCCGACGAAGCATGGCCATAGTACGGTGGCGCTGTGGTGAGAGCACGGCGGCGCGGGTTGTCGTGTTCCACGCCGGCGGAGCAACTAATGAAGGTAACGTCCTAGCACTGGCTAATACACGTCCTAACCAAACGCTAACGCTCAAAACCAAAGGAAAAGCGTCGACGAGCCGAGCTGTGGCGAGCTTTCCGTGGAGGCGGCAATGGCGGCCGAGGTTCCGGCGAGAGGGGAAAAACGGAAATACGCCCTCACCAAGGCGCAACTGAAGCAGTCAACACGCCGAGGCGGTGGTGGTGGATGAGGCGCAACGAATGGCGAGATGGAGATGGCGGTGGTGCGGTGTAGCGCGCACAAGGCGATGGTGGAGGCGGTGCTGTGCTCGGCGGCGTTGCCTGGTGCCGTGGCGAGAGCAAAGGAGGGCGCTGGAGAGGGAGAGAGCGGGCGGGAGTGAGTGAGAAATGGAGCGGGCGCACGCGGGGTGATAATGGCCTGCTCAGGCCTGGCGCTGCCCGGCGGATAAGAGCGGCGGCGACGCGCGGCCAACGCCGCGGACACGCGGCGGCTCTGTCCTGACGCCGGTCGGCCACTGACGACTGAATCGATCGGCCAATTCAGCTCAATCAGTTAAGCGAAGCCGGCCTGACGACGAGTTTTCACGGTCGTTTAACTGCAAATCCGTAGCTCCTAAGCGAAAACGATCTACATGATTTTTGTAGCCCGAAGTACCAGCTCCAACTATTGTTCAATAACCTCGTGCTAATTCGCCATCAACACCGAGTTACATCGTACCAAAGGTCGGCTGTCAGTCAGTCAAGGTTCATGACTTAGCAAAAATTTGCTAAGTGTTGAACTTGTTATTTTTCCTGATTTTTGTGATCCAATTTCACACATGTTAGGAGCTGAATCAGTCAAAGACCCAAAAATCAAAGTTGTTCCTTATGTCAAACACTACAACATTGCTTTAGTGAACTCCTCCATGCAAGGTCTCTAGCACCTAGTTCCACTTTAGTCAAACATGTCACTTTTAAATGATGAAACACATCAAAGCATGGCTTAATGACCAAACTAGCCCTAGCCCTAAATACCAAAGTTGTTCATGATGATACTCTAAGCATGTTTAAGCAATTTGTAAGGTCATTTAAGCATTTCATGTAGTAGTCACTCATAGAGCTATTTAAAGTAATCACATGAAATATACCTTAAAGACTTGACCATGGAAAATGACATTCATGATCCATGTTCCATTTGTGAACCTAAGCATTGCCAAAATATTTTGGTGACTCAAATCTACCAAGTACATGTTCACAGTCATGATCATTTGCATATGTACAAAGAAACCTGCAATAACAAGCAAACGTTGCATATGTTTCAAGAAACACGAGATAACAAGCAATGTTTCATAGGTTTCCATCAATTGTTTCAATTGTAAATGATGATTTATGAATGCTTGATGCCCATGCTCATGTTATGAAAGTCAAGTTATGCAAGGCTAACACCCGAGGTGTTACATACATCACGTGGGATTGAGTAGCACCATGGCAAACTGGCTTGCTAGAAAAGGAATCCATTTTTGTTTCCTTGCAGCCATGATCAGGTTTTGTCCTTGTTGCAGCCAACCAAACTTCAACAACGTGGTGAGCCAAGTACCAACCACATCCAAAGGGCATGTTTCGAATTAGATACAAGAGCTAATTGCTAGTTATCTAAAAATTCAGCAATTAATCCTAGAATATCCAAACATGAGAGCTAGATGAGCTAATTTTTTTATCTAAACCTTCAAGTTGTTAGCTAACTAAGTATAAAATCTTAGCTAATTTGAACTAATTGCTAGTCTAACTAGTATCTCTAACTCATCCAAACAAGCCATAATACCGGTATTGTTCTTTTGTTATTCATGCCACCTATTTGTAATTTTGTTCAAGTGGTGAGTTGAGTCCAAGTGGCAACATTAGGGGCTTATACCCTGTTCACTTGGGCTTGTTTGACTTATAAGTCGTACTTTTTCAGTCAACGAATAATATTTTTTTCTCACACCAAATCAGCCAATAGTATTTTCAGCCATGGCTTATCAGCCAAAGAAGTCCAAACGAACAGGACATTAATTATATATAATGCTCATACCTATTTAAAACTTCCTTCTCACCACTAAGGCCCCGTTCACGCGGCGGCAGTTGGATCGGCTGGAAGTGTCTTACGGGGTTACTGTAGCACTTTCAGCCGGTTTCAGCCGGAACAGTATTTCTCTCTCACACAACCCGCAGCTACAGTGTTTTGTCTTCTTTTTTCAGACAAGCGAACGGGACCTAACTAGAGACGGCAACTCTATGTTAATGTCCACTAACTCAATGGATCAAGTGCGGCTATATAACGACCTCGGCATGTCCAGGCTCCAGGAAAGGTGAGGTAGGAGTACAGAGTTTGTCACTGAGTTCCTACAGCTCCAAGTCTCCGTTTTTTTTTTCAAATCAAAGAAGAAAACCAACCTACCAAATCTCGATCGGGGAATGTCGTCGTGGTGTCGCGGTTGCAGGCGTGGTCTCTTGTTTTCCACGGCCTTTTGACCGTTTGGCAGTCAATGGGCCGTGGGACCCGTCGCCGCGCCCGTCGACGCAGCAGACGACGCAGGCGAACGGCTGACGAACCCGGGCGGCCCAAGTCCGGCCCGTCGCGGACCGCCTCGAGTGGCGTCCCCAATCCATCCTCAACACACGCGCACACCACTGTCTCTCTCCTATCACTCCCAATTCTCCCTCTCTCTCTTCCCCATCCAGGCCAGCCAACCCTAGCGCGGCGGCGATGGCGTCGGACCCGGCCTCTGACGACGCGGCCGCGGTAGAGAATGGCCACGGCAACGACAACGGCCACGGAAATGGTAACGGCCCTTCCCCGTCGAAGCGCCCCCGGTCGGTGATCTCGGCGGCCGAGATCCGCGCTGAGTTCGCGCACCACGACGCAGCCGTGGCGCGCGTCAATAACGGCAGCTTCGGCTGCTGCCCGGCCTCGGTCCTCGCCGCGCAGGCCCACTGGCAGCGCCTCTTCCTCGCGCAGCCCGACGCCTTCTACTTCCACGGCCTCCAGCAGGGCCTCCGCCGCTCGCGCGCCGCCGTCGCCGAGGCGATGGGCGCTGGCAACGTATCTGAGGTCTCCCTCGTCGACAACGCCACCACGGCCGCCGCCATCGTCCTGCAGCACGCAGCCTGGAGCTTCACCGAGGGCAGCTTCGCGAGCGGGGATGCAGTGCTCATGCTCCACTACGCCTACGGTGCGGTCAAGAAGTCCATCCACGCCTACGTCGCGCGCGCGGGGGCCACCGTCGTCGAGGTGCCCCTCCCGTTCCCCGTTGCGTCGGCCGACGCAATTATTGCCGAGTTCCGTGCTGCGCTCGCGGTCGCCAAGGAAGGGGGGCGTAGGGTCCGGCTCGCAGTCATTGACCACATCACCTCCATGCCCAGTGTCGTCATCCCCGTGAAGGAGCTCGTCGCCATCTGCCGAGAAGAGGGCGTTGACAAGGTATTTGTTGACGCTGCACATTCTATTGGTCAGGTGCCTGTGGACGTGCGTGACATCGGAGCCGATTTCTACACAAGCAACCTTCATAAGTGGTTCTTTTGCCCCCCTGCCGTGGCCTTCTTGCATACTCGCAAGGATGACCCGATAGCCAACCAGCTCCATCACCCTGTTGTCTCATATGAGTATGGAAATGGGCTGCCTATGGAGAGCGGATGGATTGGAACACGGGATTACAGTGCCCAGCTTGTTGTGTCTGAGGCTATAGATTTTGTGAATCGGTTTGAGGGTGGAATTGAGGGGATACGAAGCCGGAATCATGAGAAAGTTATTGAGATGGGCAGGATGCTTGCTGAGGCGTGGGGGACTTTTCTTGGCTCACCTCCAGAACTGTGTGGTAGCATGGTTATGGTGGGGATGCCTGGTTGCCTTGGCGTCGAGAGTGATGATGACGCATTGAGAGTGAGGACTATGTTGAGGAAGGATTTCCAGGTGGAGGTTCCAATATACTACAACTCAAGAAGGGTGGAAGGACAGGAGATGGCAAAGGATAAGAATGGTGATCCATTGACAGGGTATGTGAGGATATCACACCAGGTTTACAATGTCACGGAGGACTATGAGAGACTGAGAGATGCTGTCAATAAACTTGTTTCTGAAGGGTTCACCAGCAGCAAGTTGCGGCCTTCTGAGAAGGTACACTCAGCTGAAATGACTGCTTGCATGTTTAGTCCCTTAATTTTCTTTGTTGATTGGCTTGGATTCCTCCATTAATGATTGCCCAGATTCACGTATAGTTTAATACTAGGAACGTTGTATGAGTTTCTGTTGTTTTGGTGGATTTAGTCCTTGTCTCCTTGAGAAGGCGTGCTTGTACAAAGATATTAAGTCCATATGAAAAGACATTCTTATGTGTACTGTTTCCAGACTGTTAGAACTTTAATGTAGCTAATATTGATGATTGATACTGGTGCAAACTTGTTTAGTGAAACATTAAGCAAATATTATGAAGAATGCATAAAGAAATTCAGTCTGAAATACACTACATGACCACTGGGTACCAACTATGACGGCAACACATCTGTAGGAACAACATGACACTTTTCCCTTTATCTGTTTTTTTTTTAATTTTTTACAGGACCCTCCTAAGCATAAATTTTCTTCAGCTTTGGGAAAATGTTGTGAGTCAATAACTTCAAGTTAGTTGTGAGTCAAGGAAGTTGTTGTTTTTTCAAAGAATTGGTATATTTTCTTACTTGTTTTATTGTAATAAAATGATCTCAGTTATCCTTTTTGGACATCAAAGCAGTTACTTCTGACTGTTAACATCTTACTTTTTCAAAGTGTGTAAAATGCATGCTGGTTAGTTCAATGATATGTGTATTTGTTTTTATTGCTTCTTATTGGAAACTTGTGCAGTTCAGGATTGTACTTAGGCAACATTTTTTTTTTTGTTTCATAAAAGGATGTATAGTATGGTAATGATTTACTAAGCTGTTAGGAATATCGGCATTGCTTTGTGCATGCCTTGAGAGAGAGAGACATTTGTTTGTCCAAGATTCTTGTTTGCAATTTTTTCGTTCGTGGTGGGCATGGCTAGTAGCATGAGGCAGTGTTGTAGCATTAAAAGTTTAATGATTTTGTGAATGATTTTGTGCTTTATGTCAACGTGTCTGAATCGCGGGTTTGAGACCCTGTATCCTACTAAAGCTAAAGTTATGGAATCATTATCATATAGAGCAAGTACATTTGCTAGCACCTAGAGAATACGGAGCTGTATTCACAATTTCCTTGAAAACTAGGAAGGTTTAAAGTAGGAACTTCCCTTTGAAAAACACTTGAAACCATTGTTTCTTAAATGGTCCAATGATGTTGCTTTCTTTCTATTGTTTCCTGTGCATTGTTTATGAGGCGTCGCCTAGGCAACGAGGCGTGCTGCGGGTGTGGGGCGTCGGGGTCGACACGACCTCGGGGTGTTTGGCGTCCACCTTATACGATTAGGTGTCCTCTAGGCGTGGAATGGCGTCTGGCAGACGCCTATAGGACTGCGGTGGACGCCAGACATGAATCTGCACGGGGGACAGGGGGAGTCGAGCGGTAGGCACCAAATTTTCCGCGGGAAAGAAAATCGGGTTGGAATCGAGCACGCCACAGGGGAAAAGGGGGGAACTGACCGCATATGTGCTCTTTGAGTGGGAAATCGACTGCTTGAAGCCCGTGCAACTTCAGGAAGAGAGGGGGAGAGGAAAAGAGAAGGCGACGGGCAGAACTGAGCTCTTGGCGTCAGTAGAGGCGGCGACCCTGCATCTCCGCTTGGGTGCTCTATTGAAGTCAGCCTCCTCGAGTCCCTGCCACTGCTGGCCGCCCGCACCTGCCGCCCGCTACCGCTGGCCATCCGCAGTGCAGCTGTCCGCCCGCTTCGAACGGCCATCGCCGTCCACAGGTCCACCCGCTTCGAGTCGCTGTTGCCTTCTCAGGTCCATCCGCACTGCACCTGTCCGTCCGCTTCGAGTCTGTCCGCACCTGTACGCCCCCTGCCTCATCTCGTGTTTTGGTTCACCAAATCTCCCAGCTGTCTGCCGCTTTTCATATTTGTTTGCTCTGCCTTTGCTCATACTAGTGCGTGTACTCTGCTCTGAATACAGTGTGCTGCTTTTTATATTATATTATTGGCCTGTCACGTACCCACATACGGAGTAGACTAATGCCTGTTTGTGCTTGGGTTGTTATTTTCTTTGGCCAGTACATAACACAAAGCGGATCTTTCTTTGATTAGTATAATATCTGTTTGGGTTCTTTCTTTAATTCTAGCTTATACAACGCTTTCATGGCGCCATAAACGTCTAGGTGTTGTGAAGGGGGTCTGGCGCCGCGCCTCGCCACAACGCCTCAAAAACCATGTTCCTGTGTGGATAGGCCATGTCAGATGAGAAGTTGAGAACTAATCTTAAGAGAAGGATAAAGTGAATTTGAGAACTAAGAATATAAGGACAAGTAGTTCTAATTTTAATGGTATTGCGACTAGATATGCTCTGCAGTCTTAACAGTAAGGGCCATTTACTGGGAAATCAGATCATTGTACCTGTAGTATTGAACTGTATTTCTGGTGTATGCCATTCAATTTCTATTGGTTTCAACCATCCATTATTGGGAGCACACACCAATGCCTAGTGGCAACACTAAATGAATCATTTTGGTGTATTGCATGTGCTGGTTAGAGGTATGCTGTCTTAAATCCAACAAATGAAATAAATTGGCTCCGCTGCATTTCATCGGAAATAGAGCCCCATAGTTGAAAACCATGATGCATGGATGCTCAAATTTCACACGTCGATGGATATTGATTGTCTGGGTTTCTTCTATTGCTTACTGTACATTGTGACATTTATAGAGGTAATCATTTTAATCTGGCAGTGATTGCCACTATGCTGACAAACCTATTGTTGGTTGATGCTCTCAGTATTTACTCATACCTGGTTTTTCTATCTGATTTCAAATCTCCTATGTCTGACGTTTGTTTTCCCTTGATTATGATGTTCACAGCAAGAGGCTTAGGTGTAATGACCATCCAGCCAGGCATCATCCACCTGAAGGCGCTGTGGCCAACTACTTAGGGCGTGATTGGTTTCCCGCATGAGGCGCCCTGGCTCGTATCTTCGTGGCTTGGTTCAGCTGGAGCAGGCTCGTGCGAGCCAGGCTCCAGAGAAACGCGGTATCGAATGAGCCAGGTTTGCTTGCCACTTTTGCATTGTTTGAGACAGGTCGAGCTACAGATGCAGTCATCCAAACAAGAGAAGCTTGCACCGCAGGAGCCAGGCTGAGCCACCAAACAAGCATATGTATAAAGATGCGGCATCTTGGGAGCCTGGCCGAGCCTCATGCAGGATACCAATCATGCCCTTAAGTGTGGATCGGACCAGCGCAGCCAGTATCTGCTTCGTGATCGTGACCTAGTTCCTGGCGTAGCCAGCCAGTTGATGAATGTAGTGTACCTCCAGGAACTGACATGTGTTGTATTTGGCGTTCGGTGTATGTAACAATAATGCCCTGGCATGTCGTCTTCCCTCTTCGTCAACATTTTGGAGTTGCTGTAACCTAAGAATAATCTGAATGTAAGGATATTTACAGCTGCTGTAGATCGATTGTTGGTTACTGATCACATTGATCATCAATACATCAAAGTGGCAGTGGGTTACGTTGGGTTGTGTCAACGCTGCAGCTCTCATGAGGTTTTATACGAAAACAATTTCTTTGCAGGCACGAACACCGTAACTTATGAGCCGGCATTTCGTTTGAATATTCATGCCGGATTTAAATTGATCATCTGAACTCGAAAACAGTGTTGAAGCTTGAAGCTGCACTAAACACGCCTTGAAGCTTGCCTCGTCTGACCAGTGGGCTTAGGGGGCCGGCTTTTGCGGGATTGGGCAGGACTTTGTATGCTTTGTCGATTGCCCGTTTGCGTTAGCATAGCAGGGCGGCTCACTTCAATCCTTAATGGAAACGTTGTCTAGCAGGCCTCTTTTGCAAGGCGGGCTAAGCAGTTGTCCAGCAGGTCTCTTTTGCAAGGCGGGCTAAGCAGCTTTGCGGGCAGGCCCATGCCGTTTACATCCTATGGGGTTGGGGGCTTGGGGCATATTCTTGGTTGGCCTATATATCCGTTGGAACATGGATGTATGATACGCTCACATCTGGTTGCTATTCTAAAAAAGTTTTGTAGGAGTTGCACTGTTGATCTTATTTGACTTTAGAAATTATAATACAACCATGTGATCAGTTAGAGACATAACAAAGTACAAGGTTATGTGATTACACTTACACTAGAAAGAGGGCCAGTACAGAATTTAAACTTACCGATGATGCTTATGGTGTCGATATGGGGTCATAGGAAGCGTTGAGGCCTTTGAAATTTGCATTCGTCCCTTGACTCGCTAATGTTAGAACCGGTACTCTTCCGATTGCTGCAGTTCTAGGTGTGATAGTGATTTGTATAAATTAATTTTCAGTACAATAAGAAATTTTATTATACTACCATAACATAGGAGATTTAGGTCTAAACATTGAGATGAAGGGAAATTTTATTTTGTGAGCTGGGCCGGCGAGCGAGCGAGGCTGGGAGAGGTAGAAGGGCCGCCGGGCGCCACTTGCGCCGGCCAAGAAGATGCCTTAGGGCGCTGTCACCTGGCACCCGCCGCCCAGATCGGGGGGAGGGAGAGAGAGAGAGAGAGAGAGAGAGAGAGAGAGAGAGAGGAAGGGGAGGGCGAGATGGAGGTGAGAGGCAAGCGAGGGAGAGCAGCGGTGGAGGAGGAGGAGGCGCAGGAGGAGGAGGGCGGCCGACAGCGCCGCACCCCGGTCGCGCTCGTCGCTGTGGTCGCGTCGGGATAGAGAAGGCCTAATTTTGGTAAAGTTTGAGGGTTTTTTTGGAAAAAAAAACTGAGAGGAGGCCTGGACTGCGGGTTGATTCAACTAAAGTTCGAGGATTTTTTTGAAAAAAAGACCGGGGCTCGCACGAGGACCTCTGGAGCGTGGGTTGATTTTCGAAAAACAGAAGGGATCTAACTAGTGTTATTGTCATTTTGTCATGGTCTTTGAGGAATTTTTGGCTGACGACTCATCAGATAACACTTCCGTAATTGTTTGGAGGAAGGCCTGTAGGGAAATTGCTCATATTGATCGAGTTTGAGCATTGCAATGATCTTAAGACATGTTCTCCAATATCTATGCTTTAGGTGGGATATGGAGTGGCTGTGACTGTGAACAGCTGTGATCAATGCTTAATAGAATATAGTAGGTCTGATGCAACAATGTCGTAGAGCTTGATAATTGCAGAAGACCGAATAATGATGGTGATTTCGAAAAAACAAAGAATGATGTTTAGCTTCTAATAAATATGACATTGTTGGAAAAGGGATATTAGATCGATGATGGATGTCAATGACATCGAACTCATCGCTTGGCTCTTTCCCGGTCGCCATGATTTTTTCTCTGTCTGCAATAATCCGTATATGAGAAACGAGTATATCAGAGAGAGTACTATATAGAGCATACATTTAAATTATTATATCATTCACAGAAAATATAAGATCTTTTGCGTGAAAAGGCATAGCCTTATCCGCTACCACATCCAGAGAATGTCTAACTAAAGTACAGGGGATAAGAGAACAAATATAAGATCATCTAGATTAGCAATGATTGGGTAGATCTGGAGCAAAAATCTGGCTAGGCTTGATTATGTAGATGGCCTGATCGTCAGCTCTTGCCTGCAAAATCAAACATTCAGATAAACATACATAATAGGAGCAAAAATATATGATAGAACATACATGCTCATGAGCTGAAATAGAAACTCCAATACTACAGTGCCAAAAAAAATCATTTTAGATGTACATGAACAAAGCCAAATATGTAAGAAAAATTATCGGAGGTACAGAAATTTGGTCAGTGTTAGCTAGTGCTCCACCAAAGCAGCAAACTCATTTGTAATTGGATCTTTCTGGACAACAGCAGACCACTGCGTCTAGGGCTCTAAACTTGTTTCAAATATAAAGATGCAACAACAATAGTGTTCAGTATTTTTTATATAATCGAGAAAAATACAACAGAAAAAATAGATAATATTGTGCCACAAATGAATGCACTGCTCAAAGTCATAGAAAAGTTACATTTTGCTTTACCAGAGAACTCTTGTAGTTTTTTCCTGCAGTGAACTATTACAGTCTTATAGTACAAATAATATCTAAAACATGGAAAAAAATAGGTTGATCTTGAGATTAGAACTGTGGAACAGTTACAACATGGTAGGCATGCAGCTCGGGATACTCAATTCAGAAATGGCATTGAGATTTTTTTTTTTTTGCCTATTTTTGAAATGCTTTGATTCAGGAATAACATTGAGGTTGATGTACCAGCGAGACTCTTGTACCACTTGAAAACTGATCTTGCTACAATATGGGTTATTTGACAAATCTCAAATACTTATTCTCCATTTTAGAGAGCTAATGCACCGCATAATGACAGTTCAAATATTCAGTGCGTTTCCTCTATACAAGATCAGAAAAGTAAAGTGTCAGAGAAATTTCCATTACCATCTAAAAACAAGGAATCAATCACTGGGCAATAGCAATGGAGTTTTAATCATGACAAAAGATCAAGTGATTACCACATATTGTGAGAAGTTCTCGAAAAAGTTGTTTAATCACCAACCTGTTCCCTTCTTATAGAACTTGTAACAATGGATCAAATGTAGGAGCAGCGGAATGAAATATCTCTTCCACAACAATTAAGACTATGGATAACTAAACATCATAGTATCTACAATTTCAAATTATCAATTGTCCAGTAGAATAAGGCTCCATGTTTTTGAGGCGTCGCCTAATCGTCGCCTAGGCGTCGCCTAGGCGCCAAGGCGTGCTCGAGGGCCTGGGCGTCGTC